GAGCTCCCTTTCTCAAATACTAACGTTTGGGATGTCGAATCTACTGAAAAAACAGGTTGCGATCAACACGAAGCTCGAGATGACTCCGTACTTGCTGCGTCATTAAAACGTTATTCTAAGAACACGACGATCGCATACTTAAACATTGACAGTGTTGCTGGATTTAAGTTCTTTGAGCTGAAATCATCCATACAAGAGTGTTTCTTTGACATCGTGGTTGTGGGCGAAACGAAGATCGATGACTCTTTCCCTGATTCACATTTTTATATCAAGGGTTTCAGGATGTTTCGTAAGGAGCGAAACACTACGAAAAATAAATTGATTGACAATCGATGTTCAGGTTAGCTTATTATTAAAACTAGGGCTGCATACGAGATGAACACGAACAGTTGCGTCTGTGTTTTTATGTTTCAGTCCGTTATTTAGTAGTCCTTGATATTCACCTCTGAATATTATACTAAAATAATTATTCACCTCAGGCTCAGTGAGCATTGGTAAATATTCACCAATGTTCACTTCGCCTTTGGCGAATAATTGTTAAATATTCATGACTGTCTAATTCCACTGAAAACCGGGTAGATAACTACAGTTTTCCTCCCTAATTTGTGACATTCAATTTCTCTTAGTTACGGAAGATGGTAATGAGAAAATATTACTAGCAGGAAACATTCAGTAGTCTTAATTACTTACAGCCACGTTTATGCATTTTCCTTTTCTTGAAGTGAGATTGTAGGGTACACAAGGATTATAACTGTAAACATAATTCGGGTGTGGTTCAAATCCTGTTTCTTTAAACCTTCAGAAGATTTGAAAACCAAGAACATTAATAAAACAATTGAAAGAATGAATGGAAAGGAAAGTAGGGGGAAGGAATTAAAAAAATAATCAACTTCCAAACTTTCTTGAAGGGAGCTTGCCCCATGCAGGTGGCTAAAAGTCGTTTTTATTTTTAATCGAAGTTAATGATCTCATTAGGTTCTGATAACCGGCAAATGGAGTAGGTGACGGAGTAAATGTAAGAAATACTATGTGTAACCTGGGGTCGCAACAACAGTTGAACTGCACCCTGCGTATCAATGGCATTGCAGTGATCATGGCTCTGAATGCCCGTTGTAGCCTTGCAGAGAAAGTAATTGCTTAAGAGCGTAAATCCGAAAATATCGAGAATCGGCCGACAGAAGCGAAATAACGGATTTTTTCTTAT